AGGATGGGAAGAATAATAAGGTATATTCATAAACAATTCTATGCTTGTAAGGCATCGAAGAGTGGTGGCTTAAGCCCGCCGCACACATGAGCTATTGGCAGAGCTAACAGCCACGCGTGAAATTTGCTCACATTACGTGTTTGCCGCAAACAGCCGCGACATTCGCTCAGCCGATACTTTTCGCGGGAAATTCAAACATGGCGGCTCATTTAAATCTTCATCGAGTGGCAGTCCTTTTAATATTTCTACGGCGACGCCGTCGCCGCAAGACTAATTTGCGAACAACGTGGAGCAAGTCATGGATTCTTAAACGCCAGGGCCGTGGTGTTTACGCAAATCTCCTCCAAGAACTGAAGGGCGAAGATCCCGAATCTTTTCGGCAATATCACCGATTAGATATCAACTCATTTAACTTTATTTTGAACATGGTTAGACCATTAATTCAGAAAAAGGAGACATGGATGAGAGCAACCATTAGTCCACATGAGCGGCTCGCAGTTACTTTACGCTATTTGGCAACCGGTGAGTTTTGGCACGAAGTGAACAAGTATGTGAATTAAAAAACAGAAAGTTTATTCATCATTTATTTTTTTGAAGGAGAATCGTTCAGAAGTCTCTCTTTCCAGTATCGTATGGGAGAACGAACGATATCTAATATTGTACTTGAAACATGCCAGGCGTTGTACAAATCAATGAAACAAAATTTCTTACAGTAAGTATAGAAGCTAATCAAAACAAAAGAAAGTCAACCAGGCTCAGCTAAAATAGCTATATGAAAAGTCACAGTTCCAATAAAATGTAACAACTCAGACTCCTTTATCAAACTCCATGATTGTTTCCAAAGTGGATATAATGTGGTGCAGAATACTGCGAAGTGCATCTATCTTGCTGTGGTGTATTTGAATTGTTTTGAACTGGATTTAACATGCCTATTTGTGCTTGAAATAACACATTACTGATTTGATACTGAGCATAATGTCTAGATTGTTGATCCATTTTTTTCAGTGACTCCACTAAAAATTTTCCAAATGATTCACATTCCCCTGGCTCTTTATCCTCTTGTGCTTTTTTGCTATCATTAACAATTGCAGAAGTCAGGCTTCTCATAACACTTAATTCTTCTTCCTCCAACTTTCTCTTCAACGACTTTCCCCTTGGCTTTGTTGGTAGTTTGGTTGACTTGATAACCTGTTGGTTATTGTCAGTAAGATCTAGCGTGTTTAAATCTTCATCAGAATCTATGGCATGTTGAAGCATGGAACCATTCTCATTATCACTGTTATCACGTGCCACCAAAGAGTTTGTCTGTAAAAAGGAAAATGATCACTATAAGTATTATAACTATAGCCTGGAGAATATTTCATACTCAACACAACCTAATTAGATTGTAAATTTTGAAGAGAAATATCAATTTTTTATTTATGTTTAGATACCGTTGACAGATAATGACTGGTAAAGTTGCTGATGGTTTTCACAAACAATGGAACTATCCATGCTGTGTGGGAGCAATAGATGGAAAGCATATAGCCATACAACAACCACCACACAGTGGCTCTGAGTATTTTAATTACAAACACTATTTTAGTGTCTTGCTTCTTGCCCTTGTGGATGCAAACTATAAATTCTTATTTGTGGATGTTGGGGCTACAGGGCTGAGCTGGGGATGCCGGTGTGTTTAAAATTCATTATTAAAAAGCTTTAGATGATAATAGCCTTCAACTACCACAAGCACAAGCAATTGAAGGAATCAAACAAAGATCTGTTATCATATCATTGGTGATGATGCATTCCCATTGAGAACAGATATCATGAAACCTTATCCTCATCGAAATCTGGATAAACCAAAACAAATTTTTAACTACAGACTCTCACGAGCAAGACGTGTAGTTGAAAATGCCTTTGGCATTTTAGCCAACAGGTTTAGAGTATTTCTGACAACTATCAAACTTGACCCAGAAAAGGTTGTTGACATTATCCTTGCTGCTTGCTGTTTGCATAACTTTATGATAGAGAAGAACAAGAATGATTATATCAATTTTCGGGATCATGAAGACACTGAAAACCGGGTACTTATACAAGGCCAATGGAGAGAGAACTATCAACTATTAGGGTTACAACCCAGTACATCAAGAAATGCAACAAATAGTGCAAAGAAACAACGTATGCATTTGACTGAGTATTTTGTGTCAGATGCAGGTTCTGTACCATGGCAAGAGAACATGTGTTAACTATGACTATTTTGATGATTGACTAAAAACTTACATCATCCATGTTAGACGCTGTTGCTCGGATGGCAACATGCTCTTCAAGGAATTGTAGTTTATCAAAACCCAAGAAGTTCTCTTAGAAAGGTTCCGCGTGCAGTTCGAAGGAGGTGCCTTTTGCCTTCGATAGCAATTCCTTAAAGTTAGTTTGTTCTTTACCCATTCCACTGTTAAAATTAAACAAAGCAATGTCGAGCATTGAGTGTAGAAGTTTTTCATGTAATATCACATCTCACAATTCACAGCAAAACAAGTCTACAAGAAATTGCATAAAATACCGTTTTTATTGACTGCTTTCGCAATTTCGTCCAGAGCCTTCTGCCTCATCACTCTGTCTTTAAATTCAGATGAACGAACATTATAGAGGCATGGATAATCTGGCCATAATTCTACTAATTTGTCTTCGAAACAACCTCGTCTATCATTTCATTTGCCTCCATGTTGTAAGTACATACATACATAATTGTAAAATCCGTGAACAAAGTAAGTGATTTTATTGGCTTACATTGGCTATCAGCTAAGCTCTTAACTCACAGCAGCCGCAAACATTGCGTTTCTTGGCACGAATGTTAAAAATTATCAAACATGACAAATTTTTTTCTCTTGGCCACGCGTGTCAAAATACGCTGGAAAAACTATGCGCACACACGAGTAAACAGCTAAGCAAATTTCACGCGTGGCTGTTAGCTCAGCCAATAGCTCATGTGTGCGGCGGGCTTAAGGTTTCATCACCACACATTGCAATGGAGCATGAATTATAAAGACAATTACCATCACCAGAAGTCCTATATTTTGATATAACAATGGAATAAGTGCAAACTATCAAATGACATAGAAATAAAACATTATGTTTTACAGAGTTTATAAGTTATGACAGCAATACATTAACTGCAATTATTTTTACAGGGAAGACACATGATATGTATCTGCATCAAAATTACGTCCTTTAAATCTATGCCTGCATTATAAATATAACCACAATCATTACTTAGATTAAAATATCAGCATTTATCTAAATAACCTATCCATATAGTAGAAGCCGTAAAGACATAAGCAAATCCAGGAATGAGTCATTTCACATTAAAACTTAAATTTCAAATGCTCTTGGGTTTGTCCATACCACCACCACATATGTGGGAAGTGACAAACAAATGTATTTAAATACAAATGATACAAACCACACAATATAAATAATATTAAATACAACATTAAAGGCATGTGCATTAAGAAGTCATAGAGCCTTTGAGTCTGCAGATTACAGATCTACTGTGCAAATTTATTTGCAAAATTGACACAATAACAATTTATTTGCACAGTTGCATACAGTACATCACAAAGTCTAGTCAATTATAAAATTTGTCGAATTTTTCTAGTGAAATCCAGTGTGGCATACTTATTAACTTACTAACTTTATTGGGAAGTGATTTATGCAGCGTAATTCCTGACTTCGAGGGAACTGCAGTTTTGAAAATTGACATATATGAACATGCTGTATGTCGCCCACTCGTTTTACTCAGTTTGGCTGCAATAAATTCTCGCATTCTTGCCGAGTGATGAAATCCCACTCATTCTTGCCTTTTCGTCATAGGAAGGCGGTTTATTCAACAAACCGCGCATTTATTTAACGTATCGTAAGATGACATTTTGAATGTTTCCAAATTAGCACAATTAAGTTGTCCATACACCAAAATTAAGTCATAAAAAGCAAATTACGCAATTGTATCGAACTGTTGCCACTGTCACTGTTGCTGTGATTTGTGATATGATTGGTTAAGCAATGCTCAACTGTTGCCACAATTAGCAATGTGATTGGGTTAGCACGTCTGGCTGTAGCCAAAGCTCGCTAAATTAAGCAACAAACTGTTGCCGATTTCATCATAATCCATTCAGTGTGATTTTGAACGATGCGATCGCGTTTAGATGATTTATAGGCACATACTTCATGTTAGTGTCTTTGTATAACCTTAATTTAACGAAGTACAACTTGCACTACGCATGAATGCAAAATTGCGAACCCGATTAATCGTTTTATGCGATTTTTATGGGACTGATATTTTTTGCAAAATTCTGACTGTTGCCTTTGCAACGTTTGCAACAGTCTAAATCCGCCCCTGATATTCATCTAGAAGAAAGCTCTATAAAACAAACATAATAATGTCAATAAGTATGTTCGTATTTTAAAAGATTGGTGTCATTTTCACTACTTATCTGACCTCTGTTTCAAGGAAAGAATAGTCATCAGATTCATCAACATTATTTGTAAATACTAAAAATAATTGCAAAATATGTTAAGCATGTACATTACATTCCACAGTATATAAATCATAACCTTTAAGCTTGTTTTAACATAATACGAACATTTATCTGTATACCTATCCTATCTTTAATCTTCTCTTTCTTTCACAAAGGAGAGGCAAAACGTTTTCCAAATAATAAATCATATAATTTTTCATCTCCATGTTCAGAAGTGCTTTTCCTCTTCCAATCTTTTAACTAACATGTACTTATCGACAATTTGTGCCTTGAAACGCAGGTATATCTAAATATTGTTAAGTAAAATAGTTGAAACTAAAAGCGAGCATGGGCGTCACAATATACATAGAACTATATTTGCAGATTCTTTACACACCAGGTGAAGTCGTACTATCTATGTCACACTGGTTAAACGACCAAACAAAATATCCAGACATGACTTCTTCGCGCTTGTCGTGGAAGACCACACAGACTTGAGGCAATTTAACTCTTCTCGGTGGATTTTATTTCGGACTTCTCTTTAGCGCATTTCTTTCTCATGGAAGATCTTCGTTTGCTAGAATCTACAGTACGTACATGTATAATATACGTAACAACGACAAATCGCAATTTTACAGCAATTTGGCAAAATGCTTTGAAATAATTCGCACAAAATAAGTGTAGGGTGGCCCATAAATATAAGTCTACATATTTCTACGAGGATGGTGTAGATGGTATTTACCCGTTTACTTTTAGATAAAGCACAATTTATCTCGAATAAAACTGTTCCATATTTTGCATTTTGTGTCGCCTACATCTAAAATCTAACTCACTTAGATTTTGCAACAAACTTTAAAATAATGCTTACAGTTACTCATAAAAAACCCCAACAAAACTCACCAGCAAGAGAAGTTATTTCTTTTGTGCATCTAGTGACTGAAAAATACAACATTTCTAATCTCTTCTGCAGCTTTGCTACTGTGATTTTTGCCAGCTGCGACTTTCCTTGCTCAAGAAGCTGCTCCTCTGTCACATGTCCATCTAAAAGCTGTCTTTTCAATTCCAGAAATCTTGTTGCATTTCGTTCAAGTTGTTTCACTTTGTTTTGAGCGTCATGAACGAAACGCCTATCACCCAATAATGTCTGCGTTTGATCATCGTTGTCTCTTACAAAATTCTCCAAATGTTGAGCATTTTCAACAGTTTGATGCAAAAGGAAGAACTCTTCGGCGGCACCTTTCAACGAAGAAACTCCAATTTGTTGTTCTAGAGAAACAACAAAAAATATTAATTTATCTACGTAATTACTAAGCACTCCATACAATACTGTATAGCTATATATTTTCCGGGGGTAAAATGAATTGTTAAAAATAACAATTGCCAAACATAAAAATTTGAGCCAGGCCAGGAAGTATTTCATATAGTTTCGTTTTAAATGTTTGAACAAAAATCAACCATAAGTACAGAACTGTTCAATACTAAACCATGTTTCTAAAAATATTTGAAAGTAAACAATGTTATAACAGAGGTATACCTCTCGCAAATTGTTGAACTTCTTCTTTCCACTGCATTATCGAGTCGTCCAAGTCTGAATCCTGGACATTAAGTTCGCTTCTTAACTTTACAAAATCGTCCTGGCAGATGAAAGTTTCGCGGGTCTTCGAAATACTAGTACACATAATGAAAAACAGTGAAAAATAATCATATTAGCGCAGTAAACGTATTGGGTTCAAACAAGACCTATACACAACTATGAGCTGTAAATTCATTTCATATTATACACGTACGTAGCTATAATTTTACGGTGGCCCACAGGTGTCACGGCACACACAAAACTTCTCACGGCACACACAAAACTTCTCACGGCACACACAAAATCGCACGGCACACAAAACTTCACACAAAACTTCTCAAGGCACACACAAAATCTCACGGCACAAGAGCAGTATTCGAAGAGACTGGGACTGATAAACATAAATGAAATATGGCGGAAAACGAAGGCGAAAGTTCTTCTGGCGGCGGCAAAAATATCACTCTCAAAGGCTATTTCAAATACATGCGAATGTTTTCACGACCTCAAACATGGATGACTTAGATGCTGAGGAAAATGAAGAGTTTGACGATGAAGATATAATACGATACTATTTTATAGAGATTTTACTTATGAAGAAATAAGAAGATTTTACAGAAACACGACATAGAATTAAGCATTAGCACTTTAAAGAGAAGAATAAAGAAATATGGTCTAGGAAGAAGGCAAGTTGAATACGCGTCTACTGTAAGAGAGTCAATCTGAACTATTGTTGATGGTCATGCCAGTCTTCAGGGTTATAGGTCAGTTTGGCACACTCTACGACTTAATGGCATACAAGTACCTCAGTAGCTGTTCAGGAGATTTTGCGTGAAATATGTCCGAAGGAACTGAACGAAGACAGCATCGCTTGAAAAGAAGGAATACCAAAATCCAGGCCCAAATTATGCTTGGCATTGACGGCTATGATAAAATGAAGCCTTTCGGATTTCAATACATGGTTGCATTGATGGGTGGAGTAGAAAGATACTCTGGCTAAAAGTAACTAGATCCAACAACCACCCAGGTGATATAGCCAGTTTTTATTTAGATGCTGTCGAACATTTTGGTGGATGTCCTGTTGATCTGGTAACAGATTTAGGCACTGAAAATGGAATAATGGCAGCCATTCAATCATTTTTCGGGATGATGCTGACAGCCATCGTTATGTCCCGTCTCCTAGAAATCAAAGAATCGAGTCGTGGTGGGGACTATTCAGAAAGTCGTGCTCATCTTGGTGGATAAACTATTTTAAAGATCTAGTGGATCAAAGGATAGTTGATCTCTCATCAGAGTTAGATATGGAGTGTCTTTGGTTTTGCTTTTCGGATGTGATACAAAAGGTTTTAGACGAAGTGAAAGAGCAATGGAACACCCATTATATCAGAAAATCACGTCATGATACTGTAAAAGGCAGACCTGACTCATTGTATTATTTACCTGAGCTATGTGATGGTGGCAATCACTTTTTACTGTCAGTTACTTCTACAGAAATTCATTATGCTTGATATATAAACGCAAAACATATTCCAAGAATATTTCAACTACGTGTTACAATCTTGTGATCTCGACAAGCCAAAAGATTGGAAACAGGCAACTGAGCTTTACAATATTCTTCAGTACTATGCAAAGTAAATATAATTGCCGACATTCAATTTCAACAGACTTCATGTAGCTATAGGCAGGCACGAAGCTAGAACGTTAAGTGGGGAGGGGGGTGAATATTCAAATATTCAACTCTGCCCTGCTGATTTGTTTTGAAATTATAATCACTAACAAAGCAAATCAGCAAAGCAGAGGTAAATATATGAATATTCACCCCCTCTCTTAATTCTATTTTGGCCATAAGACAAATTAATCTAATATATTTTGTTTATACAAAAAATGTAGGTAGTATCTTCTGTAGGTAGCAATCACATTTATCTGCTAACGTAAAAATTAACAAAGTGTATAGTAAATGTTTCCTCACTAACAAGCATTTGGTAAGTACATAATTTTGAAAGAAGTAAAATTAAAAGTTGCCATTGGGGTGAATCAAACAAAAAAGTAACCATTCCATAATAATCTGATAACACTGATAAGGTGTTACTGATTTAGAATGACAAGTTTCATTTTTTCCCAAAACTCTGACCCTTACAGTAGGCAATCATGAAAACGTGCTTGAAATCTTCACTTGTTTTCATATGCTCAACTGGTAATGTAATGTCTCTGCCACATGATCCTACGATTGGGAAACAGATTTTATGCATGGTATTACGTGCCATACAATCATGATCAAAATGAACTCCGATTCTTAACTTTTCTCCATTAATAGGGACATGTTTTTGTCCGGTGAGCCACCCCAGAACTCCTGATGGTGTTAGATCTGCAGACAGGGAAGTGATCCTTTCCATGTTGTCTTGCATGTTACCAAGACTATCTTCTCCATCATTCCATGTCAGATCTTCTATATAGCCTGTTACATTCTGGTCTTCCATACTCATTAACACATCTTGAAAGAAGTCAATCATTTCCTGTTCAATCACACGCCGCGAGCTTCCTTTTTCTGAATAATATGGCATGAAACATGATACTAAATAGTTAGCATCAGCTGGTTGTCCAGACCGTCCTTTGACAAAAAGCTGCTTGCACAAATCACGCTCAGCCTGCAATAAGGCCGAAAATCCATAGAGATCCAAACCTCTACGAAACTCGTTTAGATAGAGGAGACGTTTGCTGACGATGCTAACCATAACAGTACCAATGATATCATCAACATGCTCTTTATCGATCTTGCCAGTGTACTCGTGCTCCAAAATGACATCTTGCATCAAAGTCGGGTTATCTTTGATGCTTTTTATCAGTGTTTGCTCATGAGACGTTAAATGGTTTTCAGGAATAAGTGCATTCATGTTGAAATTTCCTAGAACAAGCATATCATAAACACAATCCTCTAGGAAACATGGCGGAGGACCTCCTTTGGCGATGCTATTTGCAACAATTTGCCACATGAATAAAATGTACCGTTGTGGACACTGAGCATTGAATTTTGGGGGCTTCCATCTGGAAACACATTCTTTCCAATTTCGTTCATGATATTTGTAAAATATTCCTTTGCCATAGCTCCATTATCAATGCCCTCCTCTCCTGCAAGATGCACCATCACTCGGTTCTTAGGACTTTTTCTCTTTAAAAACATCACTGGTGAAAAAAAGATGTTTTGTAGCTAATTTACTGCATTCATGTCATTGAAAAGCACTGAATATACTTTAAATCAACTAAGTGCTCTGAAATTACTTTGGAATCAATGGAATGCTTTTGTATCTCGTGTATTTTCAGTTAACATTAGTCATTACTAGACTATCAGCAGGGGCGGATCCAGCAATTTTCGTGACTGATGCAGTACTGCGAGCGCCGAAGGCGCGAGTCCTCTAGGGGGGTCCGGGGGCATGCTCCCCCGGAAAGTTTTGAATTTTAGACCCTCGGAAATGTGATTTCCCGCATTTTGACGTTAAAATTTGCAAAAACCTTGGCTTTACTTAGTTAATTAAGTTTTCGTAAATTTCAATAATTTAAAATGAAAATTTTCACTATTAAACAATTTCATCTTTATTATCAGCTTTCTCAAGTTTCATACCTTCTCAACAACTTTCAATCACGAGGGTATCATTCCAATACACAAGTGATTTTAAAAAGGGAGAAGCATGGCATATTTTTTTGTGAAAAGCAAAGAAACTATTTCACAGCACAAAAATAATCATGAGCCGCCTTCTTATATCAAACAAATGAAGCAAACGTTTTTGACCACATTCTTCTAACAGTCGTAAAAGTGATGTGAAAAGAAGGCAAGGACAACTAATGACGTTATTCTCCTATTTGCATTGATATTTCATAATACCACTCCTCCAACAGCAGCAGGAAAAGGAACGTAGATATAGCATAGAAATGTTCACGATGTAATCGTCGTACTAAAGGCAGGCAACAAGTAATAATAAATGTTATTCTTCTTATTTCGTTGATAATATCACTCCTCCAACAACAACAGAAAAAGATACGTAGATATAGCAAAGAAATGTTCAAGATGTAATCATCGTACCAAAGGCAGGCAACAAGTAATGATAAATGTTATTCTTCTTCTTTCATTGATAATATCACTCCTCCAACAACAACAGAAAAAGATACGTAGATATAGCAAAGAAATGTTCAAGATGTAATCATCGTACCAAAGGCAGGCAACAAGTAATGATAAATGTTATTCTTCTTCTTTCATTGACAATATCACTCCTCCAACAACAACAGAAAAAGATACGTAGATATAGCAAAGAAATGTTCAAGATGTAATCATCGTATTAAAGGCAGGCAACAAGTAATAATAAATGTTATTCTTTTTTTTTCGTTGGTAATACCACTCCTATAATCCAATGCATTGTAAATCACAGCATAGGCATCAAGAATTCTGTCAAGAGATTTTATTCCCTCTACCTAACAAGTTGTGGATGGTGACTTCAACTTTTTGAATTTTAAGCCATATTCGATCATTTTTTCGCTAAGATACTGCGAAACCCAACATGTTTTTTACTGGCAAAAGTGAGCAAGCTTTGGCAACCACCAAGATTAGCCGATGACTGGATAAGAAAAGCCAAAGTTATCAATCATCATTTATAACATCATAAGATAATTCTCCTTGGATGTTTTTTTGCAAATAAATCGATAACCTCGTCAATATCAAGCGGGATTTCGCGATGGACATTTAACATAGCTAAAGCACTTAATCGACTTTCTGACATGGAATTTCGCAAATATGTTTTAAGTCGTCTTAGGGTAGAAACGGATCGTTCACATGTACAAGTAGTTACTGGAATTGTTGCGAATATTAGAAAACCAGTTAATATGTTAAAAAAAGTGCCTCGTCACATCGCCGAGGTTAGACGGCAAGCTATCTTTAGATAAACGACATTTTTCAAACCACATTTCAAGCTCGGTGGGAAGAAGACGAGGCTGGGGCAGGTCGTCTTTATATTTGTTAAGAAACTGAGAAAATCTTTCTTTCCATCCCTCTGGATTCGACAAAACATTTTTTGGCATTCCATATGTGGCATCCAAAATGTTTAAGTTTCTTTCAGAAAAGCGCTTTTTAATTTCCGAAATAAGATGATCCAGGAAAGGAATGGACACAACCCTACGATAATACTCCAAAATGGACTCTGCTGAAGTATTGGGTCTGTGACTCTGTAAACGAGTTGTTCGTGGCTTAGAAGGAAGAGTACCAACAGCTTCAGCAAGGTCAGCAGCATTCTTGAACCACGTTTCATGCTTTCTTTCAATATCAGATCGGAACCTCTCCAACATAACGAACAAAAGAGAAACCTTTTCACGAGCTGCATTTGCATCTAGACTAGAATCTTGTAACTGAACAGTAAGTGGTCTGGTTATCTCCAGAAAGCCGGAAACAATTACAAGGACCAAAATAAACTGAAAATTGACGATGCTGTGATAGAGACCGTTAGCTTTTCAGTTGATCCGTCATTCCAGTGCCCGTCAACATTATCCTTGATTTCGTCTAAACATTGAACAATAGCCGGGAAAGCTTCGATAAAATTTAATAAACCGTCAATCCTTGCCACCCACCTGGTCTTACAAACGTCGATAATAACTTTGTGACGGCAGTTGGGCAGTTCTTTCTTAATTATCTTCTTTAGCAAATCAAAACGTTTTGGGGAAAATCGAAAGAACTCGGACGTCACACGAACTGCATCCATCATATTTCGTACGAACTGTTCTTTACAAGATGATGCAATACAACGATTAAGAATATGCGAATTACAATGCACATACACTGCTTTCTCTTGAATAGCCATTATTCGGGCTGCTGCACCAGAATATTTACCGGCTCTGTGCCACAAAGCTTTTGTGCTCTGTGCCACACATACAACAAAATCTCGCACTTTCAAAAGAACTTTCGCCCTCGTTTTCCGCCATATTTTATTTATGTTTATCAGTCCCAGTCTCTTTGAATACTGCTCTTGTGCCGTGAGAAGTTTTGTGCGCGTGCCGTGAGATTTTGTGTGTGCCGTGAGAAGTGTTGTGCGTGCCGTGAGAAGTTTTGTGTGTGCCGTGAGGAGTTTTGTACGGTGGCCATAAGGGACACAATACTTCCATGCAAAATATTATGTTTTTCATTGAACATTTAATATTTCCACGCAAAATACTATGTTTTCCAAGGAACATTTAATATTTCCGTGCAAAATACTATGTTTTCCATGGAACATTTAATATTTCCTTGCAAAATACTATGTTTTCCATGGAACATTGTTGCTTCGCCGTACAATATTGCTTGTTTTCCGTGCAACGTTCAAACTTGTGCGCGCGCATATTAAGATCTAGAAATGGATCAAAAACATTGTGATCGAAACCATCGAATCCATCGAATCGAAGAATCGAACCCAATCGAACCAATATGGCAGCTTGTAAGCATTGTTTAGTAGAGTTTCCTTGTCAAGTTCACATTACGTTTTGTGCTTCATGTGGAATTACACAAACGGGTAAGATATTTCTCAAATACTAAATTCTGTTTATTATTCACATGAGGCCTTAAATGCGATATAATGTTGTTAACAACAGAGAATGAACGAGAAATTATTGAAAATTATTTTCATGCTGGATATAAATACGACCTCATTGTTTGTTTGCTGATGAAGAAACATGGTATTGAAATGACTGTTCGTACTCTCAAAAGACGTTTGAAATCATATCATTTGTCTCGTCGAAATGAAAACATATCTGAGGACAATGTGAGAACCCTTCTCAGGCAAGAAATGCAAGCTGCTGGAGGTTCATTAGCCGGTTATCGGAAGATGTGGCACATTCTTCGAATTAAACATCATGTGCATGTTCCCCGGAAACTTGTTGCGACAATTCTAAGACAACTTGACCCAGAGGCAAGTATTAGAAGAAGAAGGAAAAGGCTTCAAAGGCGTCAGTATATTTCTCAAGGTCCAAATCAATGCTGGCATATTGATGGTATGTTTTTTCATGTAAAATTTGTTTATATATCTACTTCAGTGACAAAATTTAGCATATGAATTATAATTGACTACCAACAGGATATGATAAATTGAAGCCATTTGGTTTTCCTATCCATGGTGCTGTTGATGGCTTCAGGAAGGTTTTATGGTTGGAAGTGGTAAAGTCAAACAATGCTCCTGAATCAGTTGCACAGCTCTACTTGGATGCTGTCAGAAGATACAGAGGTTGTCCACTTCAAATAAGATCTGATTGTGGTACTGAAAATGGTGTGATTGCTGCTGCTCAATGCTATTTTCGAGCCAATGATAGTTGGCCAATGGAAGGAGAACAAGCTCATACATTAGGGACATCTACCCATAATCAGAGAATTGAAAACTGGTGGTCACATCTTAAAAAGTCATGTACAAGTTGGTGGATCCAGTTTTTTAAAGACTTTGTTCAGCAAAGGCAGCTGAACTTGTGTGATGACAATGTTAAACAATGTTTATGGTTTGCCTTTAATGGAGTTGTTCAAAGTTCTCTTGATGAAGTGCAATTATATTGGAATACACATCATATAAGACCGTCAAGACATGAAACTGTCTCTGGAGTACCTGATATATTGTTTTCCATCCCAGAGCAATATGGAGGCTTTGATTGTCTAGTCCAAGTCCCTGATGAGAAGCTGCAGGAAGTTGAAATGAGAATTGCACAGCAAGAAACTGAAAATGGGAAAATATTCCAAGACTATTTTAATTACTTAGTGGACATTCAACAACTAGAGTTTCCAGAAGACTATAATGATGCTACAAATATTTTTGATAATTTGATGAGTTATGTGTAGTTAATATGCAGTACTTAATAGTTTGCAAAAAGTATTCTTTTGACAACAGAACAATATCATATGTACATTGAAGGACTTTGTTTTCAAGTTCATATAAAACCAAATCCCGAATACTCCAGTAAGGCATTGTCCATCGCTAAGTCAAAATCATTAGTATTATCAAAGTGAATTGGAAAGCAGATACTTGGGTCACATGTAGCAGCAGTTGGACGGCATTTACAATTCGCAGGGCAGCCATGCTTAAATTTGACAGTGATGTGCTTTTCTGCTCCCAGTGGTGTTACAGAGTGGCTTCCAGTGATGAATCTGTACAGCGTTTTTAATGATGTGCTAGTGTCTATAAAGGAAAAGTGTTTAAGATAGTCAAAAGCCATTAAAGTAGGTACAATTGCATTTATCTCTCATTCACCTTTTGTGTCCAATTCTTGAATATAGTCACAAAAAAATTTGTGGACATTTATTTCCAATTGCTTTTTGTTGCTTCCCTCCAGGCTAAACTCTACAGTCATATTTTCAAGAACAATGTCTGCAGTCAAGCAAAAATTAGCAACACCATCCAGTGTAAGCATTGATGCCATTATCTCCCGGTGATGTTGAATTTGCTGCAGAACCCCAAAAAGTGTAAGACCAGTTTTTAATTGGTCCATCATTGCCAACATATGGCCAATTCCTGCAATTACAATCGACCTACAACAAAAGATATTGATGTGTCAAAAAAGATGAACAATGTAGATTGAACTGTATGTATGAAAACATGACCATGGTTTTATACCGAATAATGTTGTCTCGTGAGGCCAATTTCTCCTTGGAGGGAACACCCCTGTAGCCGATTGATTGCAGAATGTTCATCATGTCATCTGAGCAAAGCAATGTCCTCAGCTCCTCATCACTCTCACATTTAACTAACTGAATGCAATTAAGAATGCTATGGTAATAAGTAGAACAAATGAGAGTTAATTTTTTCTATTCTTTAAGCACAGCTTTGAGATATTTTAAAGTGAAATTTGCTTGCTTTTCTCAATGAGTGCATATTTTTTACCTTATCAATTTCATCTTTGAAATTAGCATCATGAACCAACTCCAACCAGCTGTTGGCCTGTATGCTATTTACCCCTTCAGCCACATAATTAAATACATTCTTTGCCAAGAAGCATGGGGCTGGTCCTCCCTGTGCCAGAGAGGATGATATTAACTCACCAGCAACCATGAAGTCTTCATTTGCTAGTGCTCGTGCACTAAACAGTGGATAACCATTTGCATCATCAAAGTTGACTTAATGTGTTGTAGGACATCTGTCAATACAATGAAACAGACTTAGCATTAAACAAGGTATAAAAACAAATATTCAAATTACTACATATTAGTTTCTTTGCACAGTTGTACAGTATGAATTGAAAAAAATCTTCACTGATTTTCTCACCTGTGAAAAACTCCCTCCTTGGGCCACCACCATCAATAGAAGGTTCACCAGCAAAACAAATTTTAAGATTTCCTCCTTCAGCAAACCATTTTCGTTTCCGTGCATCCACATAATCTGCAAAAGCTAATCGCCTACGAATAGTAACTCTGTTGGTCGACAATCTGTTAACATTGTCCTGAATTAGATGAACCACTTCTTGCATAGTGGCAACAGTTGGCTGTCCAATTTCCTCTTCAGCAATGAGTGTGTTTTCCAGGTTATTTTGATCGTCATCTGATAACTTGCCAATTGGGTCTATCCACCTTTCTGCACACATGTCTGCATGAGCCTCTATGTCTGCACGTGAATAATATCCAAGACATGTAGGGCATTGATGTTGCAATAGATATTTTTCTATTCCATGCTGAGACAATTGTCCTTGTGACATACTACAAACTTGAGACGTTGAGGTAAATGAACTTTGAGAAGACAAAGAAGAGGATTGGAGGATTTTATTACTTGCATCTTCATTGAAATCCCCACAACCTGTTGTGGCCAATGACTTTGATGTTGAAGGTTGAGACTCATGATACTTCATCGAAATCTCTTCAAGTTCCTTGTCAGAACTTTCATCAGAAATTGAATTTTCAAAATCATCTTCTGTACATAGCCAGAAATACATTTTGGAGTATGGCAGCAACAAATCTTCTTTATATTTTGAAAGCACAAATGGTATGTTGGTCTGGGGTAAATACCTCACAATTGACATGTCATTATACAAAAGAACATATTTGTTATACTTGTTAAATTGTTTATGATGTCTGGAATGTTTATCAATTGCTTTTTCAAGAAGAGCATTTCCATCAACATCTTCATCAACTGCAATTGTTATTGTCCTTGACTTCACCCTTACCAATACACCATCTCCATTTTTGTCTTTTACAATGCCAACCTGCACCTTCACCTCTTTTGACAACTTTGCTTTTTTTCCACCAGGTTTTGGCTTAAATTTTGATGATCTGTCTTCCTCTTTCTTCTTACGAAACTCTTCAAATGAAAGGGGCTTTACTCCAATGGTCTTGCTTGGAGGTTTTGAGCCTATTTCTATGTTCAAAAACAGTTTGAAATATATTGTTTAAGAAAATAATACAACAGCCAAAAATATGAGAAAACATATGAGAAGAATAGGGATAGACAAGAAGATTTTAAATAAATAAAAAGTAGAATGAACAACTTCCATTTTACAATTGAACGAACGTTCGTGCACTTGTATTTTATAAACTATAGGGTTGTGTACTTACCGACATCTGATAATGCACAAAATCCACAGTTGTGGCAAAATTTGGCTTTATCCAAAAGCTTTGTTCCACAACTTTGGCAGAACATTTTGCTATAAAAATTCCACTTTCAGACTCGTGTTTTATGAGATTCAATGATTAGATTTACCAAATAGATTTCCTCGAAACTTCAAGTAACTGCATTATATTCAATTCATGCGCGCGCACAAATTTGAACGTTGCACGGAAAACAAGCAATATTGTACGGCGAAGCAACAATGTTCCATGGAAAACATAGTATTTTGCACGGAAATATTAAATGGTCCATGGAAAACATAGTATTTTGCACGGAAATATTAAATGTTCCTTGGAAAACATAGTATTTTGCACGGAAATATTAAATGTTCCTTGGAAAACATAGTATTTTGCGTGGAAATATTAAATGTTCAATGAAAAACATAGTATTTTGCATGGAAGTATTGTGTCCCTTATGGGCCACCGTAGTTTTGTGTGTGCCGTGAGATTTTGTTTGTGCCGTGACACCTGTGGGCCACCGTATAATTTTGACAATTAACTGAAGACATATACAACGTGTAACCTTTTTCATTCGAATAATAAGTGATTTTGCCAAGTTTAAAATTTTTCGCTTGTTCCAACTCAGAAGGTGTTCAGTAATGCATTCTCGTCCTTAATACGTACAACCATTAATGCGCACATTAGTTCGTGGACTTAATCGACCAAAAAACCTGAGTGGATATACAGATAAGAAAATAATACTCACCGGAGGCCGTCATATTTTTAGTAGTCGAGCCAAGTCTTGACAAATACGAATTTATTTGCTCAACTTCTTCGCCAGCAGTTGCTGCCGCACTACTTTGCCATCTTCCGCTCCAAATAACCTAAAAAGTGTGAAAAGAATCATCTACTCAAGACAACCCATTTCAGATTTATGTAACCATGGTTTAGTTACGTGAAATACAGTATTATTACAGTTTGAAAAAGCACGCTTTGTCTCATAAAATCTTTAATAGAGCATTATCGTCGGCGTAAGTGGTATTTAGCTTACGAGTTATTGGGTAAACAATCATAACTTACGTATGTAACGTACCTGACATGACCAACTGTGTGATTTCCCATGCATTATAGACAGTGCTGGTGCAATATTTTTTAGCGCATTTTGATTTTCTTCCGATGTAACACGTAGAGCCCAAGGCCAATATTTGCATATAATATCTTCCCACTTATATTTAACTTTATGTGGTTGTAAAAAGTTCATATGCAAGTAGTGAGCATAGCCATAAATTTCTCCTCTGAACATGTTCAAAGTAGCTTGAGCAATCGAGTGCCTGCATCCAGCAACTTCAAGTCCAGTCTCATCTTGGTTTTTCTTTAATTTGGAGACCATTTTTGCAGCTTTCCAATGGGTGTCGCCACAAGAATTATCTTCATTCTATAAAAAATGCTTTAACCTAATAATAGATTACTACCTTTCAATCCTACCTCATAACACATTACCTGAATTGACTTTGAACCAAGACTTTTTAAATGAGAGTCCACAAAACTATTGTTTGCAATCAATACATCACGATAATAACATTGGACTGGACCCCTGTGGTAAAAGTAAGTTATCAATTTAGAACACAAGCACTCATAAACCCAACAATGCAGGTAAAGAATCAAACATGAGCAGTAGGTCTTTTTCTTGGATTTGTTAAATCGGTTCAATTTATTAAAACATAAAAGTATCTGAATCGTTTACAAAGGGTAATTCCATTTTTACAAGTTTGAGAATTCGCCATCCAATATCACAAACCTTGGTACTTTGCTGAATCTGTACACTTTTTGATTTCCATCAATATGACATGAATGTTGATCAATACTACAAGGAGGGCAATTTTTCCATGTCTGCTCATGAAGAAGGTCAATTTCATGTTGGCAATAGCTCCATTCAGCAAATGATTTTCTGAATGGGACTGAATTGATAACATTTTCCTAGTGAAACCAGTTCCAAATCAAAACATAGCACAATTATATACTATTTGTTGATTATGCAAAACCCCACTATACTATAATATAGTTCTCATACTTCAAACATACACATTATATGAAGCCTACAAAAATTGACATGTGCTTGTTACAAATTTTAAACAAACTTTCCTTGACTTCCCAGAATTTACCAAAATTCACAGAAAGAAATGATCATAAAGGATTATTTTGAAATCAAGATTTATTTCTTGTAGCTTTTGGTTTGCAAGACAAAAAATACACACAAAGTAAAAAGCACACTAACAAAGATATGTAGATAGCATAAAAAATAATCACCCTTCCTCTAGAGCTGGAAATATCTTCCAAACTTCTTACAAAAACAGATTGTGATGACCCAGGCATCCTCTTTCTAAATGCATCTTACAAATTAAAGACATCTTGACTAACTATGTAATGAAAATTTTCAGGGCTACCAGGCCACCAGCCACTCTCAATTATACTGTCAACAGAAATTGGTGACCACTTCCATTGACAAGATGAGCAATGTACAGTGAACCAATTAAGATCAAATTGTCCTGTTGAAGACAAAATATAATCAAAAATAACCAGTACAGTGCTGAAAATATGCGCTTCAAAGAAATCAAATCCTGGGCTTTCATAAGAAGCCAGCAACTTCATCAATGATTTGAAGTTTTTAGTTTCAATCTAAAGTCTATGAATTAGTGATTATCCAACCTGCTGCCTATGTACTTTTCTAAATGTGACTAAGATAATGAGCCCCTAACAAATCCGATTTTAATAAGATGCATCATATGTACATCCATATATCAAAAATTGTTATTTGGATTCTGTAAAAAAATTGCATAAGGACATTTTCACCTTCACAAGTGATCATAATCACAAGAGAGCTGTTGATCATAATCACAAGCGAGCTTTGATAGCTAAGACGGCTGGTGTTTGAAATAGAGGCAGCCTTACTCGTCTTACTTACTGCATTAACTCTCACAATCTCTTCGCTGTAACAACGAAAGTGTTAAAAAGCCAACATTAAAATTTTCTTGCAAACTGTGTGAAAAGTATATGTACTAAGAAATTCAACAGAAGACGTTGAAATACTTAATGATTTCATCGTTAATATTAAACGACTTAAGAAATTTGTAATGTAGAAATTACTTATCCGAACAAGTGAATTATTGGAAGCCTTGAACTAAAAGTCAACACTTTCAACCACTATGGCATAAATTTCACAAAATATCGTGACAAAATGTCGTAAAATCTGATACTATAATGCAAGAAAAATGCCGTATTTCACTAACAAACCTCTCATCTTTTTCATCGGTTTCCTCCCAACTTTCAGATTCACTGACACCAGAAACGATTTTGCACGAAAGTTCGTCAGTTGCATGTCCAGCCGTATCCTTACCAAGCTCTCTGATACAATTTAATATTCATAATTTTAAAAAGCTATCACTGTATATGTAAAAGAAATGTATTATATAACATGTATGCAGTTTGTGATATTCGGTTATTTTATGGTTCACGCAGGGGAATGAGCAATTTAGCTACCTTTCATCGACTTCCATAATTTCTATTCGTTCTCCCATTCCGTCGCCACCACATTTTTGTTGCACTTGGCTTGTACTGAAAATACAATTAACATAGAAAACATACACAATGTAAGTGCAGTTCTCAATTTGGGAATTGGGAACTTGATTTTCATTTACCTAGCCGATTTAAGCATTTTGTACGCCTGTAGCGCAGATTTAGCAAGAGGGAATCTTCTCTAATAGCGTCATTTGCTAAGGTCTTTTCGCCCTTGTCGCTGTGAGTTTTAAATGGTTTGCTAGAGGACTTGTTCCCTCTAGCAAGCCAAAATTCGTTTGCCTTGCCTAAAACAAAGTAAGCAAAAGCCCATTGGGGTTTTCTCGTGTCCACTCTTTGCTCGCTTTGCTTCTGGTCCTGTTTTCTGCTGCTTGCTATGTCTTTTAAACATGTTGGCAAACTAAAACTCTATAACACACAATTTTTATGGTTACAAATGTGTCGATAGCCAATCTTGGTTGTTTATTATTGTTTTTATAAAACCCACTGACAGTGTCATGCCACTTTTCTTTGTGACGCAAACACGATCACTCTTACACACGACTAACATTCTAACACTAGATAATTGTTCTGTTACCTTCCTTAGACAGTGTTTGCTGCTTATTTTTAGCCACTGCTGCTGTCTCAGTTTTTGCACAGCCACTACACAAGACCTGGGCACCAAAACCTTCATCATCATCTGCTGATGTTGAGCAAGGCGGAATTGCGTGGCACGTTTTTTTGCAAACTTTGCAAAAATGGCTTCCACATTCCTTCTTGCATGAAACGCAAACTAGTAATTAGGCAACAACAATGAAAACATAAGTTAAGATAATGTAATGAACGTTTTTTTGGTATCAAAGGCAAGCAGCACTAGTTTTTAGCAACACACAAATGTTGGTTTGGTACTCTTAGTGAGAAGTGAATATTGTCGAGGAATCACCGAATCAGCTCCTGCAATCAACCAATGGCTGATATATATTGTGTATATTGTTGTTCGGAAAATTTTCGGCTATTGTAACGCGTGAATTTACCTGATTTAACTGCTTGAATCTCAGCCATCTAGTAAAAATAAATAAACAATTAGATAAAAAAGTTTGTCAAAAAATCTCGCTTTATCACCAAACAATAGCGAGCTAAGCCCTGTTAGTTCGTTAGCAAACCGGTTTTAATTATAAATTGCTTCATTTATCAATATGTTTTATGTAAGGATTGTGAATTTTATTTGCCTTAAATGTATTAAAACATGCTTTGTAGTTTGTAATACAAGAAATCCTTTCGTACCACTACTTTTAGGTTACACAAAAAACATAACTGTTAAATAATAACTTGTTTCCCGGGCGTTTAGTGTTAGAAGCGTTAATGCTTTCAGAATTTTTATCATTTGTAATTTTGTATCAGTACTTTTGATTTTACTAAACCATTACGTGTACTCACCTTACAAATTTGAACACCCCAAGTTGGTTTAATTAAATATCACGTATCACCGTAGAATACACCGAAGAATCGATATGGTTTGCCTTGAAGTCACTTAAAAAGAGAAAGCTCGAAAAACGAAAGCAAAGAATGTGTAGTTAATCTGCTCAGATATCATATTTCTAGTCATCAAACGCTTATTGGCTTACCAAAAAAATTAACGGAACTTGCCTGTCAAAACAGCTTGTAAGATTGACATTCAACAGGCAACAATTTTTTTCAACGGAAACAACAGCGCTGCAACGCACATGTGCTGATATTGCGCAATAATTTCTCGCGCTGCGCGGCAAATTTCACAAATGCGCGGCGAACAAGAAATTTTTTAAAATCTGCGCGTCAGGACGCGCATTTCTCCCGAAATTGCGCAAGCTAGATCTAGGTTGCGCAAGACAAACTTTCCAGTCTGGAGTACATATGGACTACGTTGTCGAGAAAAGGCTGTTGTCCATTCATCTAATTTTAGGTGCTAATGATTATGTCAAAATTTGCACACCTGAGAAACTCAGAGTAGGACGTATTGGGGGAACCGGTAGCAGAACGTACTCGGTTTGGTTGGGCAGTAATGTCACCTGGAAACGATGAGCAAGAGAAGCCTAAGATGCCTTAATTCTCTTTTATGCAAACTGAAACGTGAAAATATGTTTATTGGGTACGACGCAGTGATACGAGAACAACTACAGCAAGGAGTTGTTGAGAAGGTGAATCATAAAGCGAAGGGTAAGGAATTTTATCTGCCACACAAAGCAGTCGTAAGGAAGGACGCTAAAAATACGAAACTACGAATTGTGTACGATGCGTCGCCAAGTGAGTAGAGTAATTCCCCTTTTCTTAACGACTGTTTGCTAACTGAACCACTATTACATAATCAGCTCTGGTGCATCATTGTCCGTAATCAATTTCATCCAGTAGCTATCACTGGAGATCTGAAAAAGGCCTTTCCACAGGTTCGAGTGCGTGAAAGTGAACGAGATGCCTTACGTTTTCACTGGATGAAGAACATTAACAGTAGTTAAATAGAAGTGCTTTGATTTACTTGAGTGGTGTTTGGGCTAACACCATCGCCTTTCCTTCTCAACAGAGTGCTCTAGGAAGACCTTAACATCTTGGAAAACTGTTATCCTGAGGTCGTCGAGGAGATTCGCTAGCGCTTATACGTGGACGATTTGATTTCCGTAGCATCTACCACCGAGCAGGTGAGAGAGTTAAAGAGTGCAGCGGTGAAGATTTTTGACAAAGCGAAATTTAGAAAAATTCAGATTTAAGCATATTTTTAATTTTAGAAAACTTAATAAACCCTCCATATTGTTGTCTTCCTCCTCTTTGTCGTCTTCCCATTTTTTGGAAATAGTTTTTAATATAAAAAAATACTATTTTTTTATATTAAAAACTCTTTTTTTCAAAAAATCTAGCTCTCTCTCTATGTATATATTAAGACAATTGTAATACTTCTGCATAAATAAACAGATATTGCTTTTCATGCATACATTTATTGAATTTGCTTACTACTTATTTATTTATTCTTTATTATAAAATGAAAAAAAATATATAAAAGAAAAAAAGAAAGAATTAGAAAAAATTATATAAAAAAAACTCAAAAGGGAGGAGTGTTAACGAGTGATAACTTTCCCGCGTAAAGTTTACTAACAGGTCGTTGATTGGGTGACGATGTAATTTAATTATGTTAATTATTTTAGAGGTGATATAAACACATTGACATTGTTGATTTATAGATGAAGAAGCACATATATTTTACTTTTGTATTTTTGTTCATTAAACGTTTCAACATATATCGCTTTCGTTTGCTCGGTGGGTGAATGTTTAATAAGGAGTTGCTACACTAGCGACGTTGGCATTGAAAGGAATACTTCTAGCTATAACCAGTGGAATTATCAATAAAATAGTTTAATAATAAAGCAATAAGGGAATAATTTCTGGTGTAGCAGATACGAGTTTAAAAAAACTCTCAAATGAAATAAAATGACTAATAGAAAAAGAAAAAGAAAAAATTATTGTATAAGAAGATCAATAAAAAAAATCAAACAAAAGGATTGTGGGTATTTAAAGACAATGATGAATGAAAATAGGAAAAATAGAAAATTTCTATTTAATAATTAAAAGTAATTCTTTTTTTATTCAATAACGTTAATGTATCTGTACATTTTGCAGTATGATACGTATAGTCTCTGTCTGGTTTAATTATTAAATATAATTCTTTGCTTGTACAAATTTCTAATTCTACTATTTTATTACTTGTTTTTTTTACAATTTGAATTAACTACATCTAATAAATTAACTAAAAATTTATTACAGCATTTACAAGATAATATGTGTCTTGAAATTTCAACATATGCAAAATTTTCCATCATAAACCTATAAATTATTTTTCTTTTATTTGCATGAAATGATAACAATTTATCAAAAAATTCTTTACAAAAAACAATAATTCTAAAATTACGAGTAAATTTAAACTTCCCCAACATCCCTCATTACATGCTATCCCTAAATTATATTTGTCTTTTTTACAAAATGCGTATCATGCAAATAAATTTTAAAATAAGTAGTCAAAGATACTTATTATTTTTAAACCCAAACAAACTATTTCTACAACAAAAATCTTAATCAAATAATAACTTTTTATATTGCGTATAAATTTTACCAGCCCAATAAGAACAAATTAAATATGTTCCGTGTTTTCGTAATCCCAGCAACGTATAACCCCCAATGATCCCTATAACTTTTCAATAAAATCGTATTGTTAGCATTTTTCTTCTTATGAACAAAAAAAATAATTGGAATGTTCCAAATCTTTTGCATTTGGTTTAATTTTCCATAATTTCATTTTGCTTGGTTTTCTTCTTAATTTAAACAAATGGCTGCATACAAAATGCAATTGAAATGTAAAAGGTGTCCAGGATATTCATTCAATAAAATAGCAAATGCATAAATTGCCAAAATAGAGAAATCCATCATCGAATTAAAAAAATGAAATATTTTTTCATAAAATTAAATATTTAAGTATTACCATGTTAATAAAATCATTACACAAAAGAGAAAGAAAAACAATAAAAATAAAGAGGCGTTAGTTTATAACATAAATTTAACTTCATAATGTGACAATGGTATTAATTTTAAAAATGAAACATTTGATTTCTAATGGCCAGTGGCGGATCTACTAGAGTATGTCAAATCCGTCGCGCGACTGATGTTTGAAATTCAAAAATTACCTATTCATATTGATTAAAAACATTAATTATTCTTACTTTATTATCGCATTTACTTCGTGATAAAAATCCAGCTTTATTTATTATTGAAAACTAATGACTAATCCAATGAATATCTCGTTGGTAACCAGATCAGTTGGTGACCTGGAATAACCGACTGATAAGCGGGGTGGCTTGACTGGTTTGACGGATAAAGGAGTCTATGAACGCCAAAAACGCTTATTTTATTGGTCAATGGCCAGATCAGTGGACAGTCTGGAATGGTCTCGACTGATAATAGGGGTGGCCGGACGTATAAGGGAGTCCAATTGCTA